CACAATTACAGTGCGCGCCAACATATTAATACTACTTGCTTCGACATATATATATATATAGCTTAGCTTCTGTTCTTTGAGATCAACAAGAATATAAAGACGAGAAAGACTGACGAAGTGGGACGAAGCTGCAGAGGCAGACGGCTGAATAGCCCGACAGAGCTAAATCAACTCACTTCCAAAACTGAGTCAATCTTGAATACTTGCTCTTCTTCTTATTTCCATATAATCTCTTTAAATCGTAAAGCTAAAGCTTTTCCGGTATCTGTAAGTGCTTCCTCCTATTCATTCCACACACACACACACACACTTCAGCAAATCCAATATACCCCCATTAGCTCTCGGGCAATAGCAACAGGGTAGAGTCAGGCAAGGCCAGACATAGATTGAACAATTTTGATTATACTGTCATGGAATTTGCTCAACAATTTCCATCTCAGCTGCACGAGGAATCAACTTATCTGCTCAAGGACTTGGGTGGCTTGTAGAGCAATATGAGCAGGTTATTAGACACATAACGAGCCAAGGCCAAGTATATTCAAGTCGGATATTCGAGGAAAAGAATCTATAACACAAAGTGCTGGAATATTCAGCAACAAAAACCAGAAAAATTATATACGTGTATGTGTATGTGTATGCCTTATTAATATATGTATGTATATATTGACACATTGATATATGGATATGTGGAATATTTGCCTGGCACTCGCTATGTCCCGCTTTATGACACTCGCTCCTGAGTCTTGCCAGTCTTGGTCTAGCTGAACGTCACGGGCTTCTGGTTGGGGCAATTTATCAAATATCTTATACAAAACTCTGTCGCCTGTCAGCGTTGATTTTAGCGCTTAGCGAGCACTACAACCACCCCCTCTCTCTGTATGTGTGTGTGTGTGTGACAGGCGCGTGTTGACTGCGTGAATATAAAACACACCTGTTGCCAGGGCCCCGGGACTCGTACGTGCACGGCGAGTCGACATCGTCATTTATATGACACATGAGGTGCGTCCTTAGCCCCAGCTACCAATGGGCAGCACTCCTGCCTCCCGTCTCCCGTCTCCTGCTGCTCTTTGCCCAGCCCCTTCCCAGCATATGCCCGCACAAGTGCCGCCAGCACCGTCTCCTGTAAGGGCGTGCTGTCGCACAATAAAACACAAATAAAGTGCTCGCGTCGGGCGAGTGTCACAAAATGAACATGGCTGAGCGTATTACTTTTATTGCAGCGTGTTGATTGCAGCCCCTGACCAACATGCAACATGTGTCAGCAGCAGCAGCAGCTACAGCAGCAACAACTGCCTCGACATCTGCTCGAGCGCTTCAAGTGCTAAGAGACTTTCAGCCAAGCACCGAAGTTCGTTGGACTAAAGCAGCATAAGAAGAAGAGGAAGAAGAAGCTACCTCAAGCAGAAGAAGAAGAAGAGCCGGAAGAAGTGGAGAATTAGACACTGCGATTGCAGCTCGTTCCCGTCAATCCCCAAGGTATTTCCAGGTAAGCCCCACGTATTACACCCATTGTACATACACACATGTATAAATATATCTCTATATACTAATCCAATGTTCTAATTGCACGCAAACTCAGTTTCCATTCATATATACATTATGCATAAGCCAAGCCGAGCCAAGCCAAATCAAGCCAAGTATTTTGGCTTACAGAACTTCAGCTAGTTCAGGGAACTTGTTTCCCCCCCTTTAACAAGCTCAGTCAACGATTGGCGCACTGACAACAACAACAACAACAACAAACAACAATGAGCACCAACAACAACAACAATCAATCAATCAATCAAAAACAACAATTACCATATATTTAATTCAAGCAATTTGCATAAAATTGCTCGAATTCTTTACTTCAATTCACCCTATTTGATGGGATTGCTCGCATTAGATCCACTGAAGTTGGAAAATACCTACGAATGGAATTTAATGTTTAAGCATTAGGAAAAGTAAGCATACGGGATATATCAGCTATCACTTTGCAGCATTCTCTATCATCTCTCTCTACACAAGTTTTACAAATTACGAGATTTACTTAGACCTTGATCGCTTCCTATGGACTTTTTCGAGCAAACACATCCCTAAGAGAATTGCAGGTCTATGTAAAATCTGTCGATAGACAGATATATAAACACCTTCCATTATTCATTGCTCAAGATTATGGGGATTATTTGATTACCCTAATGGCTCTCTTTTAAAAGTATCCCCAACTTGACGATTTTCAATATAAAAGTGAAATAGCAATCAGAAATATTCGATATTTTGTTATCTTACAGAACTTACTTAATACTTAATAATACACAAACTTACTTTTAGAACAACAGTTTTTTCTTCTTTTTTTATATCATTGAAACCCTTAGAAAAAGCAACTATTTATAAGATCTTCAGCTCCTCCTTTGATGCTGTTTTTACTTAATATCAAAGTGCGGCAATGCTGTTAGTTTGTCACACAAGTGGAGAGCTTGGAAAGTGGAGAGTAGACTGCATTCGGGGTTCCTTGAATTCATAATTCACTTAAAATTGATCGCATTGGATCCAACTTGAATTCATTCACATTCATTCACATCCTCTGTTCCCCGCTTTCACTAGAAGATGATCGGAGAGTGGCGAGTGATCAGTACGTTATGTCCGCTCCCATAAGTTCTTAATGCACATAATCACGAATCTCGCTCTAGTTCAATTTGGATCGTATTGGAACTCACCCAAACCTACGCTCCTAACTTTCCACAACTACTCATAATTTACTCAACCATAAACGGTGCTCCGCTTTCATCTTAAACATGATTGGAGTGTAGAGTGTAAGTTCTGTCCCAGCCTACAAACTCATAAATTATATAGATCTAATTGGAGCTCACTCATATAACTTCAGTCTGTTTCATTCGCAATACATTCCCAAACAGTTCATACAGAGATCATCGCATCTACTCATCTCTCTCTCTCTCTCGCGCTCTCTGGGATTAACTATCCTTTTCCGCCCATTTAGTGGGCATTGTTTCGCAAACGATTTGCATTCAATTCAAACATATTTCAGAGGCCGCAATTATTTCCAGCATTTTATTTTTATGTCTGGACGTTTGCCTTACAATTTGTTTCCATTTTTGATTTTTCTCCTTACATCTACTTCTATTTCTTTCTTTTTTTTTTGCGAACAATGATTTGATTTGCGACAATGGCTATCAAAGCGTCAACTGTAATGTGTCTTGAGCATTGGGCGCTGTTACAGATGATTGGTATGAATGCTGCCAGCTGCCAGCTCCTGCCAGCTCCTGCCGGCTCTAGCCAGGTTCTGCGAGCGCCTAGCTCCCCATCCACTTACAGCTTTTGTTTTTATAGCAAAGTGTACGCTTCCGTTTCCGCTAGTCTCTTTCTGTCTCTGTCTCTCTCTCTCCCTCTCTCTCTCCCCCTCTCTCTCTCTCTCTCTCTCTCTTTCGAATGGCTCTTGTTGCTGCTATTATCTGCGCCCTTCATCTCAATGGCGCTGCCGTTCCGGTGTTGAGGGTCGTCGTCGTCGTCGTTGTTGTCATTGTTGTTGTAGTTGTTGTTACGGCTATTGTTGTTGCCACTGCTGCTGCTGCTGCTGCTGCTGCTGCTGCTGTTGTTGCTGTTGTCATCACCGACATTTAAATTACATAGCTTCGACATGGTAGAGGGCCCGCATTCATTCATGAGCTTGTTCCCGCCAGCTATTTTTACACGCAATTTCTTTGACTTTGCCGCCTTTGTTCGCTTTCTTTACTTACACAAATTAAACTAGAATCTAACTGCGGATACTTGAAGGCTTAACACATACCAGCATACCAGCACCCACCCAGACACCCACACACCCACACACACACACACACATATACGCGCACGCTTGCGTACGCACACTCATACGCAGATTGATAGTCGTATGGAACGAATCGTGAGAAATCGTCAGAGCAAAACTATGATAACACGACTCTACAACACCGAGGAGGATCCCGCCTATTGCTCCGTCATCTGGGGCGCGAATCTGACCAGCAGCAGCGACCTCGTCCTGGGCACCGCCACCAATGCCACCCACATTTACGCTAACGACTTGCGAGACGACCTATATGCGGTAAGTGAAATCTCTCGCCCCCAGGTTCCGCACCCAAGCGAGGGGTACTCTCGCAATTAGCATAATAATCACATCAAAAAGCAAATTGTAAACGGAAGCAAATTGCTTAGTTTCGGCTGTTTTTTTTTTCTTCTCATTTTCTTTATCCTTTTTATTTTGCAAAAACAAGCTTAGTATATATTTTATATATAGCTAATTGAAATAGCTCTCAAACGTCGCTTGAAGTAAAGTATATTAAAGGCAAACAAATTGTAAAACTATAAAAATGTCACAAAAATACTGAAAATCAGAATTTGTAGTATTTTTTCAAATATTTAAAAAATCCTTTTACACATATATAATTAATTGATACATAGTCCAATAAACATAAAATAAATATGAACACGGCTTAAGCCAAATACATATATCATAATCAAATATATTAAACTATTTTATTCAACAAATTTTTTGTTTTAGATCTCTTCTTATCATTTTATAATCAAAAAATAATAATAATAATATTTAAAATAACAATAAAGATAGAAATCTATTATCATAATAATGATTATTTAATATTGCATGACCGTCTATTTAGTAGCTAATTAATACTAGCGTACTATTTGCCACTTAAGAGAAATTTTCCTTACGATTATTTCAAAATATTTTTTGAAACATATTTAAAAAATGTTTGATAAATTAATAAAAATGAATTAATAGAAAATATAATAATACAATAATTCATTAAAATGAAACTTTAAGTAACTTAATTGAACTTTAAAAAAAATTTAAAACTAAAAAAATATCTACAAATTAATTAAAAAAAAAAAAGTATCACATTTCAAGTTGTTAAATGTTTATTGATTTATATAACAAAAAGTTGAATTGCTATTTGCTAGCTTGAAAATAGTTGCGTAAGCTGATATTATTTTTCTATTTTATTTTATTTTATTTTTTTTTTTTTATATGAACTTATTATTTATTTTTATTTGTTGGGTTTCTTGTGGTTCAATTCAAACTGTTCTTTGAGTAACAATACTTAGCGCTGGCTAGAGGGGGACAGCCTGCTGTGAGCAGCTGCGCTGCGAGCTGTTGCCTACTTTTACATCACACACACACATGTGTGTGTTTGTGTATGTGTGCGTGTTGCTGTTGTTATTTTTTCTTCTTTATCCCATTTAGCAGTGGGAGCAGGCAAACGTTATGAACAAAGTCTCATTCAAGGCGAACGCGAAATAACTCATTTCATAGCACAGCACGTGCAAAAGTTTGTTGCTGTTGCACTAGATGTTGTTGTTGTTGTTGGTGTTGTTGTTGTTGCTGCTGCTGCTGATGCTGTTCTTGCCGTTCAAAAGGTGCTTTGTGCACAACTTTCGCCCAAGGCTGCAGAAAGGCGAACTCAAGTGAACTGGCGGTGCCTGTCTATCTCAGTGTGGAAGAGAGGGTGTAACAAAACCAAAATGAAACAACGGCAACAGCAACATCAACAGCAGCATCAGCACCAGCACCAGCACCAACAACAACAACAGTAACAGCAACAGCAGAGCACAGCAATAAGAGGAAAACATAACAAAGAGCAAAAGCAAAAGCAACAGCAAAAGCAAACATGCTAAAAAGCATGCAAAACATATTTACAATACGAAAATGCCAACCCACTTAGTGGTAGACGTGCAAAAGATAGAGCGAGATAGATATAGACACAGATGAGATAGAACAAGAGCGTGTGCGTGTGTGTGTGTGTGTGTGTGCGTGTGCATAACAAGTCGCAAATAAAAGTGTCAAGTTGACTATTGAATTTTTATCTGTAGCAGCCCATCCAACTGGGCAACAATGCGACAGGCATTGCTGCAAGCGCGACAGGGACGGACTGAGCTGAGTGTGGAGGAGTGTGCACATGAGCAAGAAAGTAAATGCAGCATGATTTATGAGCTTTGACGATTTTGTTTACCGTTCTCTCGGGCTAGCGCAGCGAATGTGAAATCAAGGCATATTCGTTTCATCAACAAGAAATTCGTAAAAAGAAATAAATAAACTATAGTAATAAATAAACATATATTTATGTATATAAATCAAGAAGCATTTCTTGCTAGATTTCCATTAGTTTTTATTTTTTAAAGCTGTGAGCGAGCATTGTGCAGTCAGCTATAGCCGATGGTCGAGTGCTTGTGTTTGTTTTTGTTTTTATTCTTATTCTATTACTATTATTACTTTCGATTGGCTTCGTTACGCTCGCTTAAAAAAAAAAAACACTATGTGATAACCTCTGCTTCTTCTTCATTTTGTTTTGCTGTGCATTCCGCAGGATGTGGAGGATCCGCGCACCGAAGCGCTACGCGAATACTGCTATGGCCTGATGCTGCCCATCATCTGCGCCCTGGGCATCATTGGCAACGTGCTCAACCTAATTGTCCTGACCCGACGCAATATGCGCGGCACCGCCTACATCTACATGCGAGGTAAGTGCCGCCGGAGCTGACCTCTCCTACTACTACGTACATACATCCTCCTTGGGCTATCCGATTTCATTTACTGCCCGGCAAGGCGCACTTATTCACCGAATAATTGCCAATTTTAGTTTCATTCACTTAAAATGCCCACGAATTGCCGATTTCAATTGCCGGCAGCGCAATTACGATAACTCGGCACAGCTTGGCATGAAACCGAAACGAATAAAGATAAACAGCTCATTAGTGAGCGGTAGTCGCCTGAAAGATACCCCTTACATATAATCTCTAAGGCGAATGTGCAGTTGGAAGAAATTTTTAATGGAGGCTTTGTAGTAAAACTCAACGTAAAGACAGATAAATGAGTGAGATATGTGATTTATATGTAGATATGACATATGAAGGGGATAGTTATAGTAAGCTGAATGTATAATACGATATGAGAGTACATAAGTTACGGGAGGGAATCAAATTATGTTTCAGACATATGTATATAGAATTATACTCGCGTATCATATGGTATGATGAATTGAATAAAGATATATGTAATTAGTTTTATGTATAATATCTATAAGAAAATAATAGAGATATTGAAAGGCATTGAACGATTTGCATATGAAATGTATAATTCAGTCTAAAGTATGATAAACTATGATATTAGGTATGCGAACTTACAATCCAGCTTTAATACTCTGCGAGTTTTGCATAGAAATGTAAAAGAACAGAAACATTAGCAATATAAAGAGAACAGATCATCCTTAGAGCTGCTCGGTTCACCATCCTGATAAGGAATATCTGTAAGAAACAAACTCTACCAACCAGAAAAACTACTATATCAAGTAAGAAAAACTATTTTAAAAAGAAGTTTACTTTCAATTTCACATATATGTACATATCTATGCCCCTTCCAGAATATTTAAGCTTTGTCCTTTCGCATCGTTGCATTTAAATTTCATTTGGGTTGCTTGGGACATTCAAGAAGTTCTTTCTCTTCTCAGAAATTCTCGTTTCTTTTATACAAATATTTTCACACTTATTTATACTACTAAAGAAATTAACCTTTGACCCCGCCCCAATCCCAATGACCTGGCAACTTCAGCAACAATAGCCATAACAATACAAAACAATATGTGTGTAAGTGTGTGTGTGTGTGTGTGTGTGTGTATATATGGGGGGTATGTGTGTATGTATGTGTGTCTCTTCGTATATGAACTGGCGCTGTGGAACCTTATTTGATTAGGCAGCCCTCTGAAATTTATGTAAAGCCTCTAAGCTCTAGAGAGAAAGAGGGAACACGGCCAGCATTGCGTCAAAAAAAAAATAAGAGGAAGAAGATGAGGAAGTAGAGGAGCAGTGAATAAAAAGACAATGGAAAGAGATGTGCTGAGGCATAACGAAGACTCAATACACTATTATACAATTCTGTATAATCGAAAGAGTACACCAGAATGAGATAGTTAAGTAAATGATCCAAGGAGTTCCGCCTAGATAACAAAATATTTCATATAAAATATATATGATATAGATAAACGAATATATAGATATATATTGAGGATGGATAGAGAGATGGATAGATATACAGATTGATGATAGATATATAGGTAGATATAGATAGATAGATAAACAGTTGTACAGAAAGTTAGGTCTATAGGTAGACAGATTTATAAATGTATATAGATATATAGAGATATGGATATATAGATATATAGATATATATTGATATATAGATATATAGATATATAAATATATAGATATATAGAGATGCAGATATATAGATATATAGATATATAGATATATAGATATATTGACATATACAGATATAGATACATATATAGGTATATAAACAGAGAGATATATAGATTATTAGCTCTCTTAACACTTGCTTGGGTGTTACAAATGCCTCGCTCTAGCCGTAAATGCCCCGCCTGCGGCCGCAACCCATGGATGCTGTATCTAAATGCGTTAAATAATGCTGAAATGTATTAGACAAGTTGTTAAATGCTCGCAAGTAACTGGCTAAGCCGAGGCTCTCGTTTGCTCTGGGGCCGCCTAATTGATTAATGCGTTGGCCGACAAAAAATGAAGCATGTCAACGGACGCAGCATGTTGCCAATTCCGGCGTGCAATCAGTCATGCGGCGTGTGGCAAGGACTCGAGCGGCTCACATTACACTCGGCAACTCAGCAACGACAACAACAACGACAACAGCGGCAACGTCAGATGAGGGGAAGAACACGAAATTTATAATTCAATTAAGATTAGTTTCAATTTTTTCTTTTTTTGCGTTTATTTTCTTTCAGTTTCAGACTTAATTTAATGGGAGAGTTTTAGCATTAAAGTGGCATTGAAATGCAAATACAAAGAATCTTTAATCAGTATCTTTAATCTCTAGTAAAAAGCTAGAACTTGAAGATATTTACTCTATTTATAATGGGCTTGAGCTCTTAAAATTTAACTATACAATGAGTTAAGACATAATGGATGCAATAATAGGAGTTTCGTACAAAAAAAATGTGTTGGTAGTGCTCAAGTGATAAATACCTTAGGTCTAAATAATTCTAAGCTTTCTTCTATTCAAAAAGCTGATTTGAGCTGCTCAAAGTCGACCCTAAGATATGTCTGGGAATTGAAATAGGAGAGGGGAGTAAAACTTTTGAACGAATAGAAACAGTCGGGAGTGCTCAACTTGCAAATACCCTGAAATACCTCTTACATAGATTCACACTTTTATATAATTATAAATTTTAATTAATTATTATGATTGTGCAATATTTTGAAGCAAGCGAAATACACTAGAGTTCGTCTATAACGATTCCGCTTATAGCATTCACTCGGATCTTGCTACAAAAATTCGATGTCTTGGCTGGTTCATAAAATCTTATATGATAGGGTCTCCACTTGTTTATATGTACCGTCTTCCGTCTATAACGATGAAAAATCGTTGGTCCCTTGCGCGTCGCTATAAACGGACTCTGATTTGTAAATGAGTACAGTAAAATGTTGTTATATGTATGTAGCTCTGATCAACAATCAGTGGGGTGTGCTCAACTAGCAAATACTCTGCGCCTGCTCTTCCATAACTTCAAGTATTTGGTCTGCTCTCTTCAAGTTCTCCATCCGTAATGAATATTTTCTATATTTCTATAATATTCTATATTTGATTTTTTTATTTTCATTTTCTAATAAAATTAAGCTAGATTATGTAACATTTCTTAGACCATTAAAAATGGAAGATCAAAAATTCGCACTGAAATTAAATATTTTAATATCTCACCTCAATTTGACAATCACAGTTACCAACATATTTTTTATATACCATATATACTTTGAGAAATGAATTCTTTGTAGAAGATTTATCTATATAGAGATCTAAATACTTTTATATTTCGAGGGAGTATCTAAGACAAACTCATGGACAGATTGGCTTACTGCACTCGACTCTTGATTCCCAGCAAGAATACATTTTATATGTATGTATATTCATCTTAGTTGTATACAAAGATAAGCAGTTTCTGCTAACTAGACTCCATTTGTAATTTTGAAAGTGTGTCTGGCTCCATTGAGTCGAGCACCAGTGAAAAGTTAAAAGAATACTATTTTCCCAGAGATAATTTTCCACATTTGCCTGCGAGGCCAAAGCAAATAGCAAAGAGCAAAGAGCGAATTTGTTGAGCAGTGTTGAAGGTGGCGAAAAGTTGGTTGAATGCGGTGAAGGCGAAGTAGTATCTCTGTAAGATGTGAGCATAAAATGTAAAATGTAAAATGTAAAACGTGAAATGGCTCCAGTGTAAGACGCATGCGATGGCAAAATAATTGATTGCCTTTTGGCTGTTGCCCGGGCGGCGGAAGCTGCGGTGGCTGTTAGCTGATAGGTGATGGCTGTTAACTGGAAATTGGAAAACCTAGCGACTGCTGCCACTTATAGTGATGTGGTATACCCTATATATTGCTGTTGTCGAGTGCATGTAACAGGCAGAAGGAGGCGTGACATGCCCCATGGAGTATTTGTTATCCTTAAGCTGAGTCGTGGCAGAGTTTTGTCTGGAACTTTTTTGAAAAGCTGTAACTGCTAGACCCATAGAGCTAGAGTCTTTAAATTTTAAATATGGATTCGTGTATGTATTATGGAATTTCGATTTTTTTCTTATATGAAATATCGGCTTAAAATTTAGCTTCTTGTTATTGATATATGCATTCCTCGCTGGCTTCAGCGGCTCTCGTAGTCGAGCAGTCCCGATTGGAGTTTGCTTTACTTGCTTTTTATACCCTGAACCCATTGAAAATGGGAAATCAGGGTATAATGTTT